CTAATTGTCTCAGTATATTACAGCATCAAAATGCAAAACATGTCATCTTTTTTTGTTTGTTTGCTTTGAGTCAGAGTCTCACTCTGTCTCCCAGACTGGAGTGCAGTTACATAAGCACAGCTCACCACAACCATGAAATTCTGGATTCAGGCTATCCTCCCACCTCAGCCTCCCAGACCGCAGGCACACACCACCGTGCCCAGCTAATTTCTTGATTTTTCTCTATAGAAGAGATCTCGCTATGTTGCCCGGGCTGGTCTCAGACTCCTGGGCTAAGCAGTTCTCTTGCCTTGGCCTCCCCAGGTGCTGGGATGACAGGTGAAGGCACCGCGCCCGACCTGTCATCCTTTTTCTTACTGAACTTATTTACCCTCAAGCCCCCTCTCTTCTAAGTAGCAGAGTCTGGATCCCTGGAAACTTCCCAGTTGAAGAAAGGGATTGGCAGTAGAGGGAAACTGCCAGGGAAGGGCGGAGCGGGGACACACACCTCATCAACAAGGGGACCTGCATAATGAACATCTGCATACCTAAGCCTGAATTGTACCCCACATATTTTTTTATTGAAAGACATATATAGATCATGCTGGGTGCTGTGGTTCACACTTGTAATCCCAGCACTTTGGGAGGCAGAGGCAAGAGCCCATGGGTTTTGAAAAAAAAAAAAAGTATGCCAGATGACATCAGGGCTGAAAACACTCTCCTAGAGGTTTGAGGCTCTAAATTTCTTGACTTTAACAAGAAGTTAACCCACACCCATCTCTGTTTAAGGCTGTGTCTTCAACAAGCAACAGATTCTGCAGCCCCCAACATTCAGGAGTCCAGCTCTGCCACCCAATGCCAATCAAAACTAGGAAAGTTCTGGAATATCCATTTACTCCATTTAGGCAGAGGGAGGACTAAGGCTCAAGATTCCTAACTCCTGAATTGTTTGTACCAATCCAGAAACTTTTTTTTTTTTTTTTGTAGAGACTAGGTCTCGCTAGGTCGCCCAGGCTGGACTTGAACTCCTGGGCTCAAGCAATCCTCCCACCTTGGCCTCCCAAAGTGCTGGGATTATAGGTGTGAGCCCCCATGCCCGGTCCAAAAGCATATTTTTGACAGCAAAATACTTTCTAGTTTCAACCAGGAAAGTAATTACATCCTCAATAATTAAATTATCAATGCCCCCAGATTTGTGCTTTTTGCCTCATCAGAAAAGTTTAATTAAGGCATGACCTGGACATAGTAAGGGACACCATGCCTGGAAAACTGACATGATTTCACAGTAAACGACTCAGGAATATGCTGTCATTATTAGTTATTCTGCACTTGGCAAGCAGGCCAGAATTTAGCCATAGACTCCGGAAGAGTTGGGAGTAGAGAAGGAGAGAAAAAGGAGAGAAGAGTGTGTGTGTGTGTGTGTGTGTGTGTGTGTGTGTGTGTGTGTGTGTGTGTGACAGAGAGAGAGAGAGAGAGAGAGAGATGCAAGCCATGTTTGCTTTTGAAATAAAGGCCCAGACCTGATAGGACCCCAGCCTGATCAGTACAGAGTCAACAACTCCTGAAAACCAGAAGAACTTGAGGGCCTGGGAAACGGGTCTTCAGTTAAAGTGCCGCACCATGCCCCGCTCTGTGTAGGAATTTACATCATTCACTCATATTAGCAGGACCTGTACCCTCTGCCTGTGTCTGGGGGTGTCCTTCCTTCCATCATGCTATGGTCAGGTGACTACCGTGCCATTTCCGTGCAAAGAAAATCGTGAAGGTACAATCGTGTGGGTGTACGAAATAAAATGTAAAATGTTAGGACCCCAGAAACATCTGAAGCCTTGAAAGTGATGTGACGGCGATCTGAGTGACAGGGCCTGTAGTTGGGCTTCTGCTTCTCGGGCTGCCATCGACCCCTCTTCCTCAGTGGGAGAAGGCTGGGCGCGGTGGCTCACACCTATAATCCCAGCACTCTGGGAAGCCAAGGTGAGAGGGCTGCCTGAGCCCACAGGTTTGAGACCAGCCTGGGCAACGTGGCAGGACCTCACCTCTACAGTAAATCAAAAAATTAGCCAGGCATGGTGGTGGACGCCTGTAGTTCCAACTACTCAGAAGGTTGAGGCGGAAGGACCGCCTGAGCCCAGCAGGTCGAGGCCGTGGTGGCCAGGAGAATGCCACTGCCCTCCAGCCTGGGCAACAGAGTGAGACTCCAACTCAAAAATAAATAAATGACAAGGAGAGACGAGATCTTTGTCCAGTCACTGATCTTTGTCATAGGTTAACTGCCTCCATGACTGTCCTGTATCAAACTCAGACCAGATGGCACAAAGGACCGTCACAGCTTCAGTGTGGTATGTTAAACATACCCCTCCAGAAAAGGATGCCGCCTTGACGAGTCAGAGTACTGTAACTGTGTGCCAGCCTTATGTGGGAAATGTTGAAACCCTATGAAACTTCCCAAACCTCATCGACATAAACAACCCTAAAACTTCTCCACTGCAGAGCACTGACTTCCATTTCCTGGAATCTGTGTTCCAAGGTGGCCATCCTCAGGTTTTGGGTTGGCATCAACTCTATTGTTAACCATGTTTCTGAATCTCGCTATTCAAGGTTGACGATATGTATGCACGTGTGTATACACACACAAACACCGGTATTTTAAAGGTGTGACAGGCGGGGCATGGTGGCTTACACCTATAATCCCAGCACTTTGGGAGTCCGAGGTGAGAGGACTGCTTGAGCCCATGGGTTCGAGACCAGCCTGGGCAACGTGGCGAGTCCTCATCTCTACAATAAACCAAAAAAATTGGCTGGGCGTGGTGACACACGCCTGTAGTTCCAGCTTCTCGGAAGTCTGAGGCGGAAGGATCGCCGGAGCCCAGCAGGTCGAGGTTGCGATGGCCGGGAGCAAGCTACTGCGCTCCAGCCTGGGCCACAGAGAGAGACTCCGACTCAGAAAATAAATAGAGGTGCGACAGTTCCAGCCAACCACATGGGCAGCCCTGGGCCACTTACCTTTCACAACCACCAGCTGCCCCAGAGCACCCGAAGCCCTCCCCCTTCCCCAAGCAAAGCCCACACTTGGCTGCCCTGTACCTCTCTCTTCCTTTTATCCTCCTGCTGAAATTGTTTCTTTGACACTCAGCACAAACAACAAGCCACCCACTATTCCAGTCACCTCTTCCTTTGAACCTCTTCTGGCATCTAGCGTTCATTTCCATCAACATCACACACAAGCCCTCCTGGTAGACTGGCCTCTCTTTGGTAGGCTGTTCTCTCGTTCTTCCCCTCTCTCTCTCCACCCCCATCCCTCTCTCCAATTCTCCTCTCTCTCTCCTCTTTCTCTCCCTTCCTGACTCTCCCCTCTCTCCCTGTCTCTGCCCCCTTCTCTCTCTCTCCATCTCTCCTCTCTGGACATGTATTATGGGCTGAATTATGTCTTGCACTCCAAAATTCATATGTTTAAGTCCTAACTCCCTAGCATCTCAAAATGTGCCTATATTTGAAGGAAGTATATTTAAAGAAGTAATAAAGGCCAGGTAAGGTGGTTCACGTCTATAATCCCACCACTCTGAAAGGACAAAGCGGAAAGATTGCTTGAGCCCAGGAGTCCAAGACCAATCTGGGCAACACAGAGAGACCTCATCTCTCTAAAAAAAAAAAATCAAAGTATTAGCCAGGCATGGTGGCATGCACCTGTAATCCTAGACACTTGGGAGGCTGAGGTGAGAAGATCACTTGGGCCCAGGAGGTTGAGATTGTGGTGAGCTGTGATCCTGCCACTGCACTGAAGCCTGGGCAACAGAGTGAGACTCCAACTCAAAAAAATAGAGAGATAATTAAAGTAAAATTAGGTCACTAGAGTGGGTCATGTTAGACTTGCTAGACTCTGGTGTGGCCATGTGCTCTTTGATCTTTGGCTGTCGCCATGTTTCCTGGCTTTGGTCCCCTACCCCACCTTGGGAAGGTGAATTTTCTCTCTCCCTTCTCTTTCTCTCTCTAATTTACTTTTTTTTTTAGTTTGAGTCTCACTGTGTCACCCAGACTGGAGTGCAGTGGCCGCTCCCGGCCACCGCAGCCTCGACCTGCTGGGCTCTGGCGATCCTTCCGCCTCAACTTTCCGAGTAGCTGGAACTGCAGGCCCGCACTACCATGCCCGGCTAATTTTTTGATTTATTGTAGAGATAAGGTCTCGCCAAGTTGCCCAGGTGGATCTCGAACCAGCAAGCTCAGGCAATCCACTCACCTCGGCCTCCCAAAGCACGGGATTACAGGCTGAGCCACGACCCCAGCCCTAATTTACTTTTAAATAAACTTTTCTTTCTTAAAAAAAAAAAGGAAGAGGAGATGAGAACAGAGATACACACACACACAGAGGGAGGACCATGGGATGACACAGGGGGAAGACAGCCATCTTCAAGTCAAGAGAAAAGAATATTAAATATACCTCTTACTTCAGAGGAAATTATGTCAGAGGAAACCAACCCTGCCAACACCTGGATCTCAGACCTTTGGCCACCAGAACTGTGAGAAAATAAGGCTCCATTCTTTAAGCCTTGGCACCTGCATGAAAGCCCTAAAAAACTAATACAGGCCGGGTGCGGTGGCTCATGCCTGTAATCCCAGCACTTTGGGAGGCCAAGGTGAGAGGACTGCCTGAACCCACGGGTTCAAAACCAGCCCGGGCAACTTGGCGAGACCTCACCTCTACAGTAAATCAAAAAATTAGCCAGGCGTGGTGGTGTGTGCCTGTAGTTCCAGCTACTTGGAAGGCTGAGGCAGAAGGATCGCCTGAGATCAACAGGTCGAGGATGCGGTGGCTGTGAGCATGCCACTGCCCTCCAGCCTGGGTGACAGAGTGAGACTCCAACTAAAAAAAAAAACAAAACAAAACACTAATACAGCGTAGAAAATCCCAAAGAGAAACATGCTTTTGTTAAGGTTACCACAGTTGAATGCAGTCCAGTGACCTGCTTGGGGAAAGGTATGGTCACAAAATAAGAAGAAAAGAAAGAAAAGAAACAAAAGCATAATGCATTGACATTTTTTATATTTGGTATTTGTAAGTCTTTAAAAAATTTTTTCAGGCCATTTTTTCCTTAAAAAAAAAAACAGCAACCAACAGCAATACTCTGTACAAGTATAACAAACATTAGAAATATGCATCATTCCAAAATAGTTACAAGAAAATTACAGTTTAGAGTCCACATCAACATGTCCTATTCATATGTGTCCCCGAGGGAGTAAAGCTACAGTATGTTAAACACACAACTGCCACACAGTAGTCTGAAAACCCAGAACTTAGACTTTTGAGGCGAATCAACTTCAGTCACCAAGACTTGTTTAGCTCGATAAGCAACAGTCAAGCATTTCAAAAGAAAACCAGGCTGTTTCCAACCCCGACGAAAAACCAAGATGATCAGCTGCATAACTGAGCCCCCAACCCCACCCTCGGGTGGCTCTGTCTTGACAAAGTGCAGATCCAGTGGAGCGATGAGGCCAAGGTCTGGCTGCAGGTCACAGTACAGCCAGCGGCAGAGGATGGACACCAGTGTCGTTTCCCGCTGGTGCCGAGCATCACCAGATTCAACCCTGGTGGCAAAAAGTCCTTGGTCTTGGGAGAAGGCATGAATGGCCCGAATCCCCCAAACTCGCCGGCCGCCAATCTCTGGGCCTTTCTGTTGACAGCCAAACCCACACTGGCTGCTCCTCTGAATGTCACGATCAAAGACTGAGTTGCCACGATGCCACTGGACTCTTCCAATGTTAGTTCATTGCGCCTGGGCAGGTCAAAGGAGCTCAGAAGCACCTTCTCTTGTCTCTGACCAATCCTCAGTCTGCATATTGACACATCTGTTCTTCCCTTTTCAAGCACTGTGCTATAAATACCCTCACCGTCCCGCTGGCCCCAGCCCCAGTTCACTTCAGGATGCAAGAGAAGCATCGTGACCTTCGTGTGACCTGCCCATTTAGAATCCCAGACCTCTCCACCACAAGTCTTCCTCCCGGCATTGCTGGCGCTGCTGCCCATTTCCCGAGTCAGTAACAAGCGGAAGGGAGGAGGATGGCTGTGTCTTGCATTTTTATACAATATGTTTACAAGGAATCTTTGAATGGATTCTCGCTTCCTTTGACTGCTCCATGGCAACGAGGTGGGCAGGGCAGACCTTAGGCTCCTCGTGGGATTTGACACCTCAACACCCATCACGATGGTTTTGGACAACTGGGGCATTGGTGGGGGGGGGACCCACAGAACCACTGCCTGAACAGGGACTTCTAAGTGAAGTCATGGACCGCTCCGAGATCCGCATGAGTTGGGGGAAGACCAGTGTTGAAACTATGGGAGTAATCACCCAAACCCAGCTTCACTCAACACCCCAGAAAAAGCGTGCTCTCCCTGATTCCTATGGAGGCGGGGACCCCTCGGAAGTTAGGTCAAGAGGGCCCAGCCTGGCCCGGCCAACCCAGTCCTTTAACGACCTGGTGCTCAATGAACTGCTTACTACCAAAAAAAGCAAAGGATTCAGAAAAAAAAAGTGCAATTTCCACTTGAGAAGTTAAGATTCTCCCTGCGATCGCTCCTTTTAATCCTTTCAGTACCTCAGGGGAAAAGGGTGACAAAGACGTATAGCACAAAACCTCAGAGCCACATCAAGGGCTTCACGTAGGTCGCAGGCCACCCTTCATCGCCCTAAAACGTCCATCAACATGTCCAGTCAGTCATCAAAGTGCCAGCAGGCTGAGGAGCGTGGCAGCATCAGGAGTCACCAGGGCACTTGGAGAAGACTCCACTCCCATCCTCAGGAGGACAAGTGTGTCCTGGTTACAGCAGGAGGCATCTCTGTGGAAAACTGTCCAGGACTCCAGGGACTTTTTTATTCCTTCATCAAACCTTGGACATCCTTCATTGCCTAACAGAGGATAAACTCAAAACTTCAAGATATAACCTGAGCCACAATACAAAATAAAAAGAAACAAATCCTTTCATGTTAATGCCTTGAGAAGTTTACAGATTATGTACCAATAAAATAGATCCACACAGATTCTGAAATTCTTGGTGGATATACGCCTGAAGCCAAAAAATAAAGAAAAAAAATTACTCTACATTTAAAAAACAATCAAAGTAATTACAGCAGCAGTAGAGTGAAAAGAGATTTTAAAAATAATAATTACATCCTTGATACAAATTCAAACTTTGTACACCTCAATTCATAGGAATGACTGTTTTTGAGAGTTTAGTGTGTGTATATATATATATATAGGTTATATATATATATACAGTAGATTCTGATATGAGTCACTGCAGAGAGAGACTAAAGCCAGTGGACTTTTGGGGAAGAGGATTCATCTGACACTGAATTCACACTGAAGTATTCACAGATTGCCACACTTTTAATACACGCACACGTACGTACACACACACACACACACACACACACACACAAATACAGACACACATAAAATGCCAACCTGAGTAAAACATTACTAAAAACCTAGAGCATCATGAATCACTAAGTCACATATTGCACCTTTAAATAATCCTTCTTACCAAATACAGAAATGAGAAAAAGGATCAACAGGGACAAGAAAAGGACTGATGTCTCTGTAGGATTCCTCTCTTCTCCAAGCTCCCACCCACAGAAAATTCTCAGGGTGATATGGAGTCTCCATTCTCACCCAACTAATGGGCTGAAAATGTTGCCAACAGAAGAGTCTTTGGAGAAAACTGGGAGAGGGGGAAAAAATAATAAAAAACAGAACACAAATGTCCAAGGGGTTAGGGGACATGGGGTCAGGGACAAAGAGGCCTCCTCTAATCAAATGAGAACAGGAATGTTACTGAGAAGGCAAACCTCTGATCTAAACTACTGTTTAAATATTCCATATATTCCAATTATGAGATTCAATACAAAAATATAGATATCTACTGAGTTTTGCCTGTGGAAGCATAATTCAGAAAAGGCACATATTCAAATAGAAAACCCACTCCGGAGAGGTGCATACACCCCTCCCTGCACGAAAATCATCCACAATTGGTATTTTCCACCAGCTAGATTCCAAGATACAGTAGGTAAAAATAGACCTCTGATACTTAAAATATATTCAACCCAACACAATCCTGGCTTTAGCATGTGAATCATATAAAATAGTCTTTTTTAAAAAAGAATCTGTTTTGAAAAAGGGAAAGAAAAAAATCATAGCTCACTTTTCCCAGTTTTCCACAATTCTCAAGAAAAAAAAGTGAACTCATTCTATTGGTAATCAGGAATGTAGTTGACTCGCTCACCACCCATCCACAGCCCCTGACGGCCCCATCTTCGCATCCGTGCCATGCAGCATCGCGCCCTCAAAATTAATTCTAACAAAACAGAACAAAGAATTAAGGTATTAGACATATAAAAACATGTCAACATCGGGGCATGTTCCTTTGCTGTGGGTGTGATGGTCTGGTTAACTCCAGAGAGGTTTTCCTTTGGAATTAGGCGATGTAACCGTTTGTCTTTCCAGATGTGGTCACTGGCGCGAGGTTCTCATAGATTGTCATTGCAGTTGTATTCTGGTAGATGAGATCTACTTTTGAGTCTTTCTGGGATCTAACAATATCCAAAACACACTGATTGAGGAAAACATACTGGTCCTGATTTTAAAAAAAAAAAAAAAAAAGGAGAGAAAGCAAATGAGTGCAGGTCCCAAAGATTAGCACCCAAAAGTATTTTCAAACAGACCACTATACCCCCAAATTCCATCCATCCAACAGCGAACAGTTCAAGTTAGCATGTTTCCAAGAGTAACGACATTCTGGTGAAATCTGAAACCACAGAGGGTAAGATGCTCTTCATCAGTGATTCTCAACCAGAGGGGCACATGCCACACCTCCCCTGCCTAGGGAGAAGTACCAGAGTCTTGAAGGAGGGCAAAGAAAGAATGTGAAAGACATGCACACATACTTTCAAACAATAAAAAGTCCAACAAGATTTTGGGGGCTGGTGAGGCTATGCAAAGTAAGCCATAATTCTCAACCAAGGAGGTGGGTTCAAAGGGATTTGGTCTATGGGCTACAGTTTGCCAACTCTTGTTCTAGAGTCTCGGGGCTTAGGGAGTGAGTCCATGGTTTCTTACCCAAACCTGTCTTGATGTCATTAATGCCTATCGCATTCCCTCTTATGCCTTGCTTTTGTAAAGTGTAGATTAAGTAGAGTTGGATGGGACCGCTCTTTGGGCAAACATATCAGAATCGACAGGGAGCCATTTAAAAAGAGGAAGAAGGGGCCAGGCACAGTGGCTCACATCTGTAATCCTAGTACTTTGGGAGGTCAAGGGGGGAGGACCACCTGAGCCCAGGAAATCAAGGCTGCAATGAACAGTGATGGTGACACTGTATCCAGCCTGGGTGACAGAGTGGGATCCAACTCAAAAAAAGGGGGGGTATAAGCAGATATAGAAAGATATCCATGCTATAAGGGGGGGAAAAATCACAGGAAAGCATTATATAAAAAATAAAATGCAAATTTTTCAAAATATCCTGTGTGTATTTACATATATACACAAAAGGTCCATGGAGGCACATGTCAAACTATAAAAACTGGCTACCTCTAGGGAGTGGAATTGGAGAAGAAAAAGTAAAAGAGAAAGATATATTCTATATAGTCCTATATTGTTAAATGTTTTAATAAGTATTGTTTTCAAAATACAAAAAAGATGAGAAAAGAACTCGGTAGCAGGTATAAGAATTCTGTTTCTCAATAGCCATAAAAAAAAAAAAAAAAAAAAAA